CTGGTCCAAGTCCATCCAGAACAGGACTTTCCTGTATGTTCCATCCAGGTTGGCAACTTCAATTCGATTGGTCTCTGAGTCTGTCCAGTAAAGCTTTTTACCCAACCAGTCACAGGCCAGGCCATCAGGACTGTCCAGTCCTGACACTACCACAGTCTGGCCTGTTCCCAACGCCTCCTTCAGGGCTGCAAACCCAAAAATGTAGATTGTAAAAAGTGACAATGTGAACACACGGTGTTACTCACTATTGAGGGTGAATACACACTTACAATTGGATGACTGATTCCAGTGGGTTTGTTTGATGGCCTCCTCACTCACATCTGTCCAAAATATAAGGCCCTCAGCGTAGAGGAAGTCCACTGCTGCTGCATCCTCCAGGTCACTGACAACAATGGCCGACTCACCCCGCACACCCTCTGCATCCACCAATCGTATGTCGCGTCGGTTGGCAAACAGAAGGAGAGGTGATCCTGGAAAACAGAAGAAATTCCAAACATTCACTACAAAGTTCGGAGAAAAATAAAACTCGTGAAAGATGGGTACAGGTCCACTAAACCAGATCGGTACGGGTCCACTAAACCAGATGGGTAAGGGTCCACTAAACCAGATGGGTACGGGTCTACCAAACCAGATGGGTACGGGTCCACTAAACCAGATGGGGAAGGGTCCACTAAACCAGATGGGTACGGGGCTACCAAACCAGATGGGTACGGGTCCACCGAACCAGATGGGTACGAGTCCACTAAACCAGATGGGTACAGGTCCACTAAACCAGATGGATATGGGTCCACTGAACCGTATGGGTACGGGTCCATTGAACCAGATGGGTATGGGTCCACTAAACCAGATGGGTACAGGTCCACCAAACCAGATGGGTACGGGTCCACTAAACCGTATTGGGCGAATCAATCTAATATTCAGACCACGGACATGTTCTACAACATGGAAAGGATCTTTGGTCAAGTGTGACATCACAGCCTTGTGTACGTATGTCATCAACCTGGTCTGGGAGGCAACGGCTTCATGACAGAAACACTGCATACACTGGGTGTCAACTCTGAAAGTCACTGACAGAAAAAGTTGCATAGTGGGAATGGCAGGTTTTAAGGGCTTGACCCAGATATAGGACAAAAAGTCTGGATATCCTCATGTTGTCGACTTCCATTTAACCGTTTGTGCCCATTCCTTTGAATTCAGTGAATTCAGTTCTGAATTGGTAATAAATTATAATGAAACTTTATGTGATCTGAAATATCAACAACAACCTTAGAAAACAAGTTAGTTTTCTTCATCTTGAAAACTAGTTAATTATTTAAGTCAAATTTACTTCATTTAACTAGTGCATTTTTAGGTTTCAACAATTTAATAAAGAAAATGAACGTGAGCTTCTCAAATATGATGTCTTTTCTGGGACAGTAAACTGATTTAGTGTTTGCAGAGATTAGCTGTAAAATATTATATATAACACTCCATTGGTGCATATAGAGTATATTTCAAACTAAACATCAGCATTAAAAAATAACCGTGAAACATGACACAGGAAACACAAATCTGATTTTTGTCAGAACCACCCAACCCTAGCCCCGAGCTACGATTCTAAAATCCTTATCTCCCAACTTTAATTTACCAATCACTCATGTTGATATTTTGTCTGTTAAGTGCAACTACTGCACACGCCTTAATGGTGCCACATGCCAGAGTCAAGTTCACAGCCAGTCGCCAGAGTATCCAACAGGCTTTGGCATAAAGAGAAGCCATTAGCGACAGATAAGACGACCACTTATTGAAACTGAGCCCAACCATGTGATGTCAAACACATAAAACCCTGACATTATTGCCATCTGGCCACATTCTGCCAAGGCCACTAAAAAAGGAAAAAAAGGAACAGAGGTTTCATGTGTTCGCCAATGTGTAGTACATTAATTTTTGTGTTCATAAGTGAAATGTGTACATTAACTGAAATATACATTTGAAACCATGGGACACCTCATGTAAAGCATGTGGATGTCAGGGTCTGGATTCCAGGCGTAGCTGTGTGTCTGTGTGTGACGGCAGCCTGCTAGCTCTACAGACGTCGTCCTCCCTGTGTTGGAGGCAGTGGCTGTCACAGCAGCTGCCACACTGCCTCTGGGGAAGCTTGTGGTTTGGGGCTGGCAGGGCAGCAGACCTGCTACGCTGTGGTTTGGCACAACCATGCTCACTGTAATCCCACAGCATTGAGACACACTACCACTGCCAGCACGGACGCTTCCCCCAACAACAGAGACACAACATTAAAATAAGTTTGATCAGTTCATCAATTTGGGACAAAAATTCCCACATTCTATTTGGAACTTTCCCAGCAGAAAATCTCAGTGTACGTTGTATTTGAGTTATGTGACGATTTTTCTTCCACAAAATTTCAAAAACATTTTGAGACTTACACTTTCATTAGCCTCACTTGCACAACACCTGCGACAATCTCCTAACTTTATACTTTGCACAAATTCCAAAGGACTAAATCCAAAGATTTGTTCTAAAAAAAGTTAACAAAACAAAAACAAATTAGGTTTTGTTTAGACATAAACACATGTCAAAATCAATGCCACCAACACACTCAAAAGTTTCCTCAGCACAATATGGCAGAGCATTTAACTCTGTCATCGTTAACAGTTAAAGTTTTTGAGAAACAGCTCAGGCTACAATATCAACATATAGTCAAATCAGACGTGAGTGGCCATAACGTGTTGAGCAACACATGTTTTTCATAGAGCAGGAATTGTTCAGAAAACCTGTAACAATCAGTAGCCCTTATTTACAAATGATTATGTCAATGAAAAGGTGGGTTTGACCTTGTCTAAACTTGAATCTTTCCTGGATTTATTGGCATTTGTTATCGTTATCGATGTGTTAGTATTTAACATTTAGTTATTGAAAATGTAAAAATCTGAATTCCTTTTCCCAATTATTTCAAGTTTTAAATAAATGCATTAATAATTGTTTACACAGAGAAATGGCTGACATGTCGTTCCTGCTCTGTTACTACAATTCCAGCTCTTTTCAGATCAGACCAGGTGCCACAGTCACTAGTAGTAATGTTGAAGACAGAGTTGATGTTGGGTAAGGATATATGGAACATTCCATGAAGTTCCTTGTTATCGCAAAGACTAACTGGCACAAAGAGTGAACATTTTGAAAAGAATAACACACACACACACACACACACAGGCACACACTGGCCTTGAAGGTTTTGTCAACACTGTACTGAAAGAGTCATCTATTTATGGCCTCACTGATGTGAGACGACCTGTAACTCTTCTTCCTGGACTCACAGACACTTTGGTACAGGATGATGATTTCTGGGTTTGTTTACATGAGGTACTGACACACAGTACATGCTACCTGCAATACACAAGTCAGTCTAAGACACAGAAAGTAATTCTCACTGAAAACCAGGCAGAAAGCAGGACACAGAGATAAACAGATTTAGGTTTACCTAATAAAGGCTGCAAAAACCTGCATTCACTCCATACACTAGTCCTTCCATATAGACTCCTACAGATGCTAGTATCGTCTAGAAAGTATAGAAAGAAAGAAAGAAAGAAAGAAAGAAAGAAAGAAAGAAAGAAAGAAAGAAAGAAAGAAAAAAAGAAAGGAAGAAAGAAAGACAGAAAGAAAGAGAGAGAGAAAGAAAGAAAGAAAAGAAAATCTTCACAGAAGACAAGGAATCACTGGACATGCCCAAAGGAAGGAAGAGATTCTTCCTCACACCTTCCCAACTGGGACAAGAAAAATGTGTGATGAGTGCAAGGAGTGCAGTTGTGTGTGCGTGTGTGTGTGTGTGTGAGAGAGAGAGAGAGAGAGAGACTCTCCTGAGAAATCAAGGTAGACTGCCTCAGACTTCCTCTCTCTCCACCTCTGCTCCTCGGTTCCTACCTCTTCATTCCTTCCTAAACCCTCCTGTTCTTCCACCCCTTCTCCCTGACTCCCCCCCCTCTCTCTCTCTCTCCCCCTCACTCTCTCTCTTTTCTCTTTACTATTTTTTCCATTACTGTCTTTCTGCACTGTGTGCTCTCCTTTCCCTGTCTCCCCGTCTCTCTCTCCCCCACCTCTCTCTATCAGACTTGGACAAAGTCCAAGCAGTGCAGAACCTCCTTGTGTTTCACACCACAGCAACACAAACAGGAAAATATATCAATCTCTTCTTTATATTCCTCCTCAGCACTGTCCCTCCAGCACCTTACATTTCTCCCCCAGTCCCTAACTCACCAGCTCAATTTGTGACACACTTTCCCTGGCCATCTGCGTGGCTCGCTATCCAACCATAATCTTTTCCGGGTGTTTACCAATCGGATATTTCCTAACTTCAATCTAAGTTTGGCCAAATTTAGATTCCATTTCTGAAGGTGCCAAAACGAAAAGCTGCAAACAATTAAAGCTGTTGACGATATCTCTCTTGTTCTAATTTGGAAATCATTCATTTTAAATCCTGAAAAGCTTTAACTTTGTGAGTAGTTGAAGTAGCTGCTCTCAGTCAGCCTGTGTTAGGTCTTGTCCTGTTTTGTTGGGTACGTATGCCTCAATCCAGACAAAAGAACACACTCTGTATGAAGCCTGGAAGTAATGGCCCATAGAGGGCAGACCAATGGAAAGGAGCGTGTGTGCGTGTGTGTGTGTGTGTGTAAATCTGAAATCGTTTGGTCTGTTGAGTGGCAAAGAGCCGGTTCCATGGAAGATATTTTTAGGTGGCCCACCCAAATAGAAAAGTTTTTGTTTTGTTTTCATGAGTAATTAATGCTGGCATTTAAAATAAGTGCACTTTTTACAGCCACTAAAGAATGTGAATTTCTGTAGAGCTAAGACTTATGGGTACTTTTTGTTTTAGTAAGGTGGCACATGATACTCAAAATAACTCCAAGTCATAGTTTAGCAAATTATATGTTTGTTAATAAAA